CCTGAAGAATATGTAGCATAGCTAGTTTTTGACTAACTTCAGCGAGAAAACGTGGCATAGTCAACAAATCCAGGAGTTCAAGAAAAACAGTGAGGAGAAATACTCCACTCACATTAGTTCTAATTAAGTTTTGACCATAAAATTACAGCAAATGCAACGTGTTGCAACTAAAAGCATTTTGGTCCGATACATGTCAGTAAATGTTACCTTGAGAATTATCAATTATCTTCAATGTCAAAATTTAAACATGATCATCTGAGCAGCTTTTTCAATGTTAAATCTATAGGGTACAATTATCCAATCAGCTGAAGTTCACAGTCTAAGACGATGTGAATACCTCATCAAAGCAACTAGATCTCTACAAAGAGGCAAAGCTGCTTTTTCAAGGAAATGATCCTTCATTCCAGTATTCGCTCAACTCTTTTAAGGTGGATCTCACTGGAGGAGAAAATAGGCACGAAGAAGGAATCTTGGAATTGTATCATTTCATAAAAGTGTAAACACACCTTCAATCAATCATCAGTCTTCTAGAGAAGAAAGAGAGTCCAATTGAAATCCTGAAAATGCATTTGGCTAGCCGAGTTGGAATTAATCAGATATCTTTGTTATGGAATTTATGTAAGCTTCTGGGATAACTGATTTCAGTCTCATAAGAAAAGAGTTATTGCAGTCCCCAACAGAAAACACATGGGGTGATACTGATGCAATAATTACAAAATTTTCACCATTTCCCACATCTATCTTATACAGTTCTGCAAAATGTTCCTGAAAATGATGTACCAGTTGGCAATAGAAGGACCTACTAGGAGAAATAACATTTATAGAAAGAATTCCAAGTTCAGAGAGAACTGATTTGGCTGCCAGAAGAACATTCTTCCTAAGAAATTCCACTGGCGGGGCACTTATACCACTCCTTACATCACTTGAATCTAGATCAACCATGATGACATCGAATTTATTGTTGACATCTTCACCATCAGGAAAATGACAATGACCATGTTGCTCACAAGTGGCAGAAGAGCACATAGGATGCCAATTCGCCTGATGTGAAAGTTTCTTCACAAATTTAATGGCGTCTCCAACAACAACATGCATAAACTCGCTATCTTCTAATCCAAAATACCGTTTTGCAACCTTCAAAACTTCCTTATCAGCATCCACACCCGTGACCTCAAAGTCCAATTGGTTTCTCAAGAAAGAATGTAAAGCCCCACCTCCAACCCCAAGACATAAAGCTTTTGGTCTAAACCCAAGCTGAATTCGTCCTTCTATATATTCACTGATCAAAGATAGGCTTGCCACCGTTGGAGCCAAGTAAGGGTGTACCAAAACCCGAAGATCAGGCACAAACTTTACCCCTCCAATCCTTACACCTGTCGAATGAAAATCTTTTGCATCAGGAACAATAAGAATTTCAGTCTGAATCAAATTAGGCATCCTCTTGAACCTCAAACGCCTCCGAAATTCCCGTTTATAACAACCACCCAACCTATTCTCGCTTTCAATTTCAACATCTTCAACCAACATTTCACCAACAACACAACCCGCACATTTATGTATTACCACACTAGAAACCAAATTATCTTCATAACTCAAAATAGGTACCTCCGGAATGCCGTTTTTAAACAAGTATTTGGGAGACAAGGCAAGTAGAAGAGGTTTTGAGCATGCTTCAAGCTCCTTCCGATGCGACGAAGATTCTAGCGGACGGTGATAAATAGTTGGTGATGAATCACCCTCTTTGAATTGGTTTCCCAGCAAAATGAGGCGAGATACACCAGGAGAGCTAAAGAGCAGCTGGAGATGACCCCATTCAGTAGAGAAGATCCAATCACTTTCGCGGGCTTCAGGGACGAACATCGCAACAACAAGGGGTGACTCAGAAGCTGGAACCGGGGAGTCCAGAACAGCAACTCGGAGCAGTGAATCAGCACAAGTAGGATCGGGAATTGTGAAGGTGATGAATCGAGAAGGACAAATGCTTTCAAAGGCTGCAACGTCGAGCGCCATCACCGTAAACACATCCAGAGCAGTTGTTCTTCTCCACTCTGGTTCTCGATCGATGCGTGCCTGAGTGCCTTTACGCATAAAATAAATAATGTAAAGTTGAGGTGAAAATCCATACTTTATAAATTACTAGCTCCGCTAATTAATATAAGATTTTATTTGATTTTTATTTTGATCTTAAATATAAGATTTCAATCTATTTTATTTCTCATATTTATACATTTTTTTTTAAAATAGCCCTTCTAACAATAATAGTTATAATCAATACATTTAATTAGTAAAGATATTTTAAAAAAGATAACACTTTTTTAGGACAAATAACTAACTTAACTTATTTCCTTAATCTCTTCAAATTAGTCAACTGGCTCTTATAATTAGGACCAGAGATAGTATAATAGTAGGAGTCGAGTCCTAATTATAAGAGTTGGTTGATTAATTTAAGGAGATTAAAGACAAAAATTAAATTAGTTATTTATAATAAATAAGTGTTGTCTTTTTTAAAATATTATTAGTAATTAAGTGTATTAGTTAAAATTATAATTATTAAAAAGACTATCTTAAAAAAAATATATGAATATTAAAAACAAAATAAATTAAGTTTTTATATCTAGAATGAAAATAAAAATCAAATGAAATTTTATATTAAAAAAGAATAATATAAAAAGTATTTTCTTTGATTAATACTTTTCAATGTCTCGCGATGGATGGTGTATCGTTGCTTTTTATCATTTCCCGCCACGACATAACACAACGAGATGAGAAACCGGTAACAGAAAAGGCTGACTTGTTCTCCGGCCGGTCTCTCCGGTACACAGAGAGCCGCCGGTGAAAAAGTGAGGGACACGTTGCAGTTAGCGATATGATTTCGGTGACAATTCGAAAGTCGGGTTGGTCGTTTCGGTCACCGTAGCTCATATCTACTAATGAATAAATCAAATGGGAAAAAGAGATGCATTATTTTCCCTCTTTTCCGGACTGTAAAAGATCCAAATTCATCCTCTTGACAAACTTATCCGCTCTTTTTATACCCTGGTGAGGTAGATTTTCAGTCTTTAGTAGATCAGTTTGGTTTGATTGAGCTAGTTCCGCGAGGCAACAAAATTACCCGGAAAAGTGGTAAATTGGGATCATGAGATGCAATGCATTATGAGATAGACTTGTTGGATCCATCTGTAATCTGGAGATTACTTGCTTTTCTTCATTACATTGTGTGAGAAGGGTATTTCTTGATACTTTAGGCCCTCGAAAAAGACAATCCAATCACCCAAATTCAAAGTTCATCTTAGTGCATGGATTTCGAATTATTTGGATACTGAGTGCGTTGATTTTGGGATCTTCATGGTAATGCCTTGTACAGCTGAAGATGAAGATTGGATCTATGAAGCCTAAAGTTCAAGCCCAGAAGGTTTGCTTGATTTGTTCTTCCAGCGGTACTGCACTGGGATTCACCGTATTTTTTGATACAACTGGGATTCACTGTATTCTCCTTCCTTAATATCACAAATACTAGCTTATACTTAATATAAAATCTCGTTTGATTTTTGTTTTGATCTTAAATATAATATCTTAATCTATTTTGTCTCTCATATTTATTCATTTTTTTTCTAAGATAGTTTTTCTAATAATAGTTCTAATCAATAAATTTGATTAGCAACAATATTTTAAAAAAAACAACATACATTTATTATTAAAAACTAACTTAATTTGTTTTTTAAATTTATTCAAATTAATCAATTAGTTCTTATATTTAGTAACCTTGATCTTGGACAATAGATTTGAAGTCTAAATTGATTTGAGGCCTCACTCCAAAGTCTCAAAACTGCGGAAGTTTAAAGTTGTTCGCAGGAAGGTGGTCCCTTCAACATCACCTTCTTCGGTTTCACTCTTGGCTCGTGATGTGGCTAATCCTGGATGCTTCTTTGAGGATCTTTCCAACACCTGTTCGCCTGAGATCAACTGGGACCGAGAAGGAATAGGTTAATTTAGTTTGACCTACTCTTTTTTGTTTCTCTGCCTTTTTTACTGCTTTGTGTTTTCCTTCCTTTACACTTTTGTTGTGATTCCCTCTTCGTTGTTCTCGTTACGTAATTAAAAGCATTTTCAAAGCCCAAAAAAAAAAGTCCTTTAGTAAACTTCGTCCTTTATTATGGGTTTCGTTTCGTTCTTTGGATACATTTGTGAGCCAGGCTTGATATCAATAGGTATCTTTATGTCCTTGGATACTCAAGGCATGTTGTGTCTGTAGCCATGCAATGTGAAATTCGATGTAGAATATATTCTCCAGTTCATCAAAGATAAGAACAAAGTAGGTTGCATCGTTTTTCTTTTTTCACTTTGAACCAAAAAGAAAAACGAACCTTCCTACACCTACCAACATGTGCTTTTGTCTCTGCTCTCGTGTGTTTAGTATTTGATTCAAAGGGCCGGTACAGAACCTCCATACCAGAAAATTTTCATTTTATGCAGTCAGTTTAATTTTTGTGTAACACTAAATATGTCAAGGTACGTACGACTGCAAACATGTTAAGAGTAGAATCAATGAAGAAATTATGTGCACATTAGCCATTAGGTTAGTTTATACATTAAAACAACCACCACTTTACTGACTCATGAAATTTCATGCCAAGATACACGATACACATGTTACTGAAATAGAGATGATAAAAGCGACGCTAACGATGGAGATGTATGTAATAATAATGGCAATAGCATAGATGAAGATTGACAAATAGATTGCATGCTACAACCTCATAGTCATCCCAAGAACATGAAGCATTTCGCTAACCTGTCAAGTGTTTCATTTTCATTATCATTATTATTATTAATATTTGATAAAATGATCAATTCTCATTAATAAACAAAGCAGAGAGTAAAGAAGGACAAGAAGAAAGAAAATGAGTACGATTATGCTGGTAGAAATTAAAGTAACAAATCGAAAACCTGTTAAAAAGTGTTTCATTTTTAAAAAGCTGAGAATTAGAACAAAATCTTCCTTTAGTATAGGAGAGAATGAAGCCCTGGTAAGGGTAACTTGTGTCATTCCCCAAATCTATTAATCATTAAAAGAATATGATCCATCCATAGGAAGGAAAAATCACCAAATATACATTTGTACAATATTCCAACTCCTGCTGAGAATGTGGACCCACGCTACACAGCCTAGCGCCAAGCAAATTGCGTAACATGCCCTCTGTTCTTCACTACCCAAGAGGAGAAAGTGAAGCAACAAAAAGAATGAATAATCCAATTCCTCACTGACCAAAAGCATAATAACCGAATTTTTGAGAATAACATGGACGTGGTGCCCATGTAAGAGAGAAAAGCCGGGTCAGAGAATCAGTGATGCCCCGAAAATACCAAACACAAATCCTGGATCACCATTATTACCACAAAACTTATTATTATGATTATTCTCATTGTTGTGTCTATACTGAACTTCTAAGGGAAAAAAGAAAAAAACTAAGCAACTTCAAAATTTGCACAAGCCTATTGCTTGAATAAAATTGAAGTTCCTGCAGCAGAAACTGAAGTTTAAAAGGCTTCAAGATTTACCGAGCCACTTCTAGGCAGAAACAAGCTCTTCCCCAGACAATTCTTAACAGTATGATTAAGGTAAATGAGATCCTAATGTACCCAACTCCTACGCGTTTATGTTCAGGCAATTTTGGTTTGATAAGGTCTCGAGTATGTCGTAGTGACCATACCCATGAAATAGCACATTGATGGGACTCTCCTTCTCCTTCCTATACTCTTCACCATAATTTGCTATATTTGACAAATCACCAGAGTTTCTGTCCCTCATGAAGACCGAGATCGGTGTCCTGAAAAGTTAGATGGAGTTCGTCGGAAAAGAGTAATGGAGACTGAAAAACATAAAGGTGCTATAACTTGCAATCGACAAGAAAGTTCATATAGTCCTAGATTTGGTATTAATACAACAGCATTTACACAAGTTAAGCTCTAAAATTTGATTTCACAATTGTACAAAGGTTCAACTATATGTCTATATCTATCTGGAAAGCATTCCCGATGTGCATAGGTCTGTAAGCTTTGATTACCAAATTGAAAATCAAAATAAATAGTATTTGAAGCGTCGTAAAGGTGGGCGACAATGCAAGTACTTCACAAGCTCACAACTTTTTTTTTGTTTTAAAACCAGTATAGATACGAAATATCATGTCTCACAAATTGGAAGGAGCTACGCCAACCATTATATCATGTTAAACGGGTAATTAATATCTACATATAATACCTGTGACCAAATTTAAATGTACACCAACAACGAACCTCAAGTCAGTGTAAAGAAACATAATCTAAAACTCACTTCAAAACGTGAGAAGCCATCAGCAGTTCCGGTTCCCCACCCCATACGTATGGCTGCTGAATTCTCTTCACATACGCATCAAAATCCCCCTCAATAAACCTATGCATATCAGAGTCAATTAATCACAGATTCCCAACAAAGCAGGTGAACCAGTAAAATGTCACATACTACAAATATTACCATTCTGTTTCCTCGCGTCTTTTAAGAAGTTCATCCACCACCTAGCACAATAACATGAGGTTACAAAAAGATTGTTAAGCAAATAGGACTGCCGTTTTGTTCTGTCTCATGCATAACGATCTCACCTGAGCTCTTAGTTCATCAGCAAGTTCTCTCTGGCGATTCTCATCAGGCGCTTCTTCCCCATTTCTTAAGCAAGCTCCATGAACTATCGCTCTGAATAGGCATCGACCATCGGCAAGCACCCCTACACCAGACGCATTTCATCAATTTGAACAATTATTATCATAATCAAAAGCTGAATCCACCCACTGATTCGCAAAGTCAAGCTCTGGCGAAAAATAAGGCTATTGGCATATTTGTTATAACCAAGATCAGACAGCTGTGCTTATGGAGTTATGCTTATAGACCTATACGCGTGCAATTGTGACTGCAATACGTTCAAAAGCAGCAGAATCGGTTGTTAGCGCTCAACAGATCTTCGCGAGCAATTTTTAGCCCCCAAAAGGAAAATCAATTCAAGGAAAAACTAGTTTGAGGGGGGAAAAAAATAATCATAAAATTTTATCGTTGGAGCTATAAAAGGAACCTTTCCGAGCGTAAGACAACACTATCTTCTCAGCCTTGTCACAAAAACGCATCATCATCTGATCGAGCGATTTCAAACATTCTTTGTAGCCTTGATTATAGTTACAGAACAACAAGGCAAGATAATTCATCCTTTGATCAAATATTGAAAAAACTGTGAACTCTTTTAAGAAGAAATTATCGTCGTCACCCGAAAACAGCACATTAAAAACATTTATAGAGAGTAATGCATTCAAGCACTCAAAATCTTGATCAAAAAACAAAGAACAGACAAACACAGAACTCTTTTGCATGTGACAGAACTCCCAGTCAAACTAGTGTCATCGTCCACAGATGATTCGATAAGCCTTCAATGCGAATTCTAGGTACGTGAGTAGCATTATTTGAAAATCATTGCCAAGAAATGTTTACCTATGACATAAACACATCGAACTAAATATTTGAAGTTTTGAAGGAGAACAAAACAGGAAAGCCAGGGATAAGGAACCTGTGACTCTGTAATCGGAAGAGACTTCATCTACTTTGTCGCTGCCGGCGTCCTTCAATTCACCATCTTCGATTTTCTCGTCCGAGGAAGGAGCTTCCGGATTGGTTTCAAGCCAAAGAGGCGGCGCGAGACAGGCGCAAACGCCGAAGAGAAGCCAGGCCGAGTCTGGACGGTGAAGCCACCTGGCAGGGCGTGCGTCCCAGGCTGCATTCCAAGACCCCTCCCCTTTCAACTCCTGGTGAAGCATCAGTGCGCGACGAGGATCGCTCCGAAACCCCGCAGTGCCGCCAGACGGCAATATGACGTGCCATACGGAAGCGGCGCCGCCGCCATCGAGCTTACAGGCGCTGGAGTGATGGCGCCGACGAGAGGCATCGGCGTCGGCGCCGAAATGAAAGGAGGTGGGAGGTAGTCGAGCGTGGTGGTTATGATGGTGGTGAGCGGCGGAGCCGTGAAGGAATGAAGAGAGAGAGTTGAGGATCCAAGGCTTCGGGCGGGTACTACAGAGGACTCCAAGCATGAGAGAAGTCGTGGATGCTAACATGCGCTGGCAGGCTTATCCTACGCACCCATGAGGCTCAGAAACTGATGGCGCTGTGCTATTTTATAGGCCTGCACTTTTTGGTTGGTGAGGTCTTGTGACGGCGAACCATATTGTTGGAGAGAAAAGGAGATGGTGATGATGACGACGAAGCGAAGATTGATGGCAAAAATTACAAAATCAAATTCGCTTTTTACAGAGAGGAACAGAAACGTGGCTATGCAGAGCTACAGTACCATAAATATGTATATAAATATATATATTTATATATATTGCCAACGCCCAATAAAATATATATATTGCATAGGGTTTTGCTCTTTTACTTTGCATCTAAAACAAATGTGATTTGGTGCCAACAAAGTGGATTTAATTAATAAGGAGTTCGCTCTTATAATAATATTTTGAATACTTAATATAAGATCTTATTTAATTTTTATTTTGGTTATAAATATAAAACCTCAATTTACTTTGTCTCTCATATTTATCTATTTTTTTCAAGATAGTCCTTTTAATAATAGTGGTTTTAACTAATAAACTTGATTAGTAAGAATATTTTAAGAAAGACAACATTTATTTATTATAAATAACTAACCTAACTTATTTTCTTAATTTACTTAAATTAATCAACTAGCTCTTATAATCTTATATTTAGGACCGAAGGTAGTATCATTTTATTACTGGTATGAAAATCTTTTTAGTAGGCAATATATAAATATTTTTGTAAGTACTATTTGAGTCTAAAAACATGTTTTGACTTAATAAGCTTTCAGACCCAACTATCTGAAACCTGCTTTTATCAGCCAAAAAAAACCAAGATTGAAAATTTTATTGGTAAGAAAGCTATAAATCTTAACATTAATACTTTGTGTGTATACAAGTTGAAAAGTACTGGTTGGCAAAAAAATTTTCACAAAATACTGATGTTTTTTGTATATAAAATTTTTTGGGAACAAATTTTCATATTTGATGAATTACATAATAAAATATAAAATATAGTATATCACTTTTATGACAATTTTTGGAAAAAAATGTCATTTTTTGCCGACATGCCATTACTAGTAAGTCCTTAAAATAGTCTAAAATTATTTTTATATTATCACTTTTCTTAAATTTGCTGTCCTTATTATCAGAATCTAATAATAGTAATGAGTCTCATAAAGTTTGGTAATAAATTTTATTCTTAAAAAAATTAAATAACATTTGTTGACTTTTTTCCAAGCTTAGAATGTTTTAATAGGAAGTTCACAAAAATATGAAATGATTTTTTTTGCCAACAAAAATATAGAATGATTAAAATTTTCATAAAGTATTAAATCATTCGCATGTTCCAGCTCATTTCTGCCTTCTTGTGTTAGGTTTTTCTTTTCTGTCATTAGGTATATTGATTTTCGCACAAGCCCAAAAAATAATACTACTTCCAGTCCTTAATATAAGATCTTGTTTAATTTTTATTTTGGTCCTAAATATAAAATCTCAATCCATTTTGTCTCTTAAATTTACGCAATTTTTTCCAAGACAGTCCTTCTAATAATTATAGTTTTAGCCAATGTACTTGATTGATAAGGATATTTTAGGAAAGATAACACTTATTTATTACAAATAACTAACTTAACTTCTTTCCTTAATCTCTTCAAATTAGTCGACTAACTCTCATAATTAGGACCAGAAGTAGTATTGAATTTCAAACAAAAATCAAGCAAGCGAGATGCTTGCTGCTTGCTAGGCATGATCAAACCCGAAATGTATACTACAAAGAACATTGAATTTTAGGCTATTACATACTACTTCCAAGTCAAAACATCTAAAATATTAATATGGAAATAAAATTTATTTATCCTAAATAATGTTTTGATTTTTATTTATCCTAAATATTTTAGTTTACTTTGCCAACCGCTCTAGTGTTCCAAGGTCAAGGATCAAATCCAACAGATAAAAGCCTTGTCAAATTATTATTATTCTCTGAAAATAAAACCATATTAAAAGTATCTATACTTTCTCTTAATTTTTTGTTTGGTACTCGTGTGTTTTTTTCCCCTTAACTAAATCATTTAATTTTATCTTTTTAACAATATTAGCTCCTATAACTTTATTCTATTAGCATTTTTAGCCTCTATGTAAGGGTTAATAATATTAGTAGATCAAGATTAAAGATTTAATTAAAAAATATATATATGTACTAAGTTAATTTATTTTTTTAACCTATTCAAATTAATTAACTTATTCTTATATTAAGAATAGAAGATAGTACTCTTCCGGTTCTTAATATAAGACCTAATTGTTGGGTTGGTTTTGGTCTTAAATATAAGACCAATTTCTCATAATCAACCATAATCAAGTAGAAGAAGAAGAGAATGTATTAAGAAAAATGAGTATGGTGTTTTAGAAAAAACATGTCACATTTTTTATAATTAACTAACTTACCTAACTTTCTTAATCTAATCAAATTAGTTAAATGGGTCTTATATTAAAAACCGGATGAGTATTATTTATGAAGAGTCGTTCAAGCTACCGCCTTTAATCTGAGCAGGCCGGAAGCCCTGCCTCAAGTTCTCGCATCCAAAACTGGGGGGAAATAAGGAGAGAGTTTTTCACTTTCACGAAAAATGGTGAAGGGGTGGGAATATACTGAAAAAGATTCGAGAAGGATCCTTTGGACCTGCAGGTTTGAAAGAGTCAGGCGAAGCGAAGGTGGGGTAACCAACATAGTATTTCAGTTAAGACAGGGAGGCTCCTACCAATTGGCCAATCACCATGCATGCATTGCAGGGTAAGTTTCTTGGTATTGCGTGACACACGAGACGACCGTCCCTCCCTCCCACGTGTTACTTGCACCATCGCCACCCTACTCTTCCGCCATTATTATTTAGGTACGTTTAAAATAGTTTATAAATAATTTTTTAATTATAATTTATAAAATAGGAGGTAAATATATGAGACAAATTTTATCTTATCTAACATAAAATATGTTTATAAATATTTTTTAAATGTTTTCACACACAGGCCATTATCATTATCACTCTTAATTGTTTAAATTCATCATCTTTTTATTCGTCCCAAAAAAAAAATCATCCTCTTCCTCTAAATATATATGAGAGCACAAGATTCGCCCAAAATAATTATTAACCTCATTTTAATTTTTTTTCTGAAATTTAAAACAGATGATTTTAGTCCTTAAAATTTTATCTTGTTTTGGTTTAAATCTTTGTTTTTAAGAACAAAAAATCTTAAGTCCAATCAAAATGAAATCAAATTTCAAGGATTAAAATTAGTCATTTAAAATTTTAGGAGCCAGAACCAAAATAATATCAAATTTCAGAAATCAAAACCACTAATTTCAAATTTTAGGAATCAAAACCAAAATAAAATCCTCTAATTAAATGTTAAAATCCCTTGTGTTGTACACGAATTCCACTGATGATGTTGTATAAAAGGTGTTATCGAATGATTATGTCATCACAATGTATTGTGTAAGCTTCTTCATCAGTTCCTTATTAATTGTTTGCTCACTATGGCTACTTGGCTAACTTGAATATGTTAAAAAAAATTATTAAATTAATTATTTATAACAAATAGATTAGGAAAAAAGACATAAAAATGCTATCTTAACTTCATAATGACCAGAACATCCGCTAAATTTGCAAATTGGCATTATTATATCAAATGAAAAGACTAAATTGCCCTTCCTTTTAAATATTGTTTTTAAAGTATCACAGCCCCACTGGCCAACCGGTCGACAATTGGTCACCGGAGCTCTGTCAGTCAGAAAATTTTCTTTTGAAAATTTTTACAACTTCAGTATAACGGTTAACAACTTTTGTGACGCTATTAACAACTTCAGTATAACAGTTAACAACAGGTTTTCTGAAAAATTCAACAAGTTTCGGCGGCTGGAAATAAATTTTTTGAAAATTTTTACAACTTCAGTATAACAGTTAACAACTTTTGTAACGCTATTAACAACTTCAGTATAGCGGTTAACAACAGGTTTTTGGGGAAATTCAATAATTGGACGCCGGAGCTCCGGCGGTCGGAAACAATTTTCTTGAAAATTTTTACAACTTCAATATAACGGTTAACAACTTTTGTAACGCTATTAACAACTTTAGTATAGTAGTTAACAACAGGTTTTTTGGGAAATTCAACAAACTCCGGTGTCCGGAAATAATTTGTTTGAAAATTTTTACAACTTCAGTATAACAGTTAACAACTTTTGTAACGCTATTAACAATTTCAATATAGCGATTAACAACAGGGTTTTGGAAAAATTCAATAATTGGACACCGAAGCTCCGGTAGTCGGAAACAATTTTCTTGAAAATTTTTATAACTTCACTATAACGGTTAATAACTTTTGTAACGCTATTAACAACTTTAGTATAGTAGTTAACAACAGGTTTTTTTGGAAAATTCAACAAGCTCCGGTGTCCAGAAATAATTTTTTTGAAAATTTTTATAATTTTAGTATAACAATTAACAATTTTTGTAACGTTATTAACAATTTCAGTATAGCAGTTAACAACAGGTTTTTTGGAATATTCAAAAAATCACATTTTTACAACTTCAGTATTGCCGTTAACAAACTCAAAAACTTGTTGTTAACTGTTATATCAAAGTTGTTAATAGATATACAAAAGTTGTTAACCATTATACTAAAATTGTAAAAATTTTCAAAAAAAGTAGTTGTTAAAGTTATAAAAATGCCATTTTTTTCGAATTTTTAAGAAAACCTGTTGTTAAATGCTATACTAAAGTTGTTGATAGAGTTATAGAACTTGTTAACGACATTATTGAAGTTGTAAAAATGTTACTTTTTGAATTTTTTAAAAAACTTATTGTTAATTGCTATACTGAAATTGTTAATAACATTATAAAAATTGTTAACCAATATACTGAAATTATAAATATTTAAAAAAAAAATTTGTTTCCAGTCGCCGAAGCTCTAGTGACCAATTGTTGAATTTTCCCAAAAACCCGTTGTTAACCGCTATACTAAAGTTGTTAATTGAGTTACAAAAATTGTTAATCATTATATTGAAGTTGTAAAAATTTTCAAAAAAATTGTTTCCGGCCGTCGGAGCTCCAACGACCAATTGTTGAATTTCTCCAAAAATCTGCTATTAACCG